GAAGAAATAAAAACAAGGACGAGGGCCAGGGATTTAGCTCAGTGGCTCCATGCCTGCCTCACAAGGGCAAAGTCCTGAGTTTGATTCCCTGGTACCCCAAAAAAAGAACAAAACAACAACTAAAAACTAGAAACCATGTTCAAACAATTAAGCAAAAACAAAACAAAACAAACACAAGAACCAGAAAAGAGGAAAAAGGAAAGAAAAGGAAAGAGAAGTCCAATTCAAGGCATGTTTCTGCTGTCAGTGGCAGACAACATGGACAGAGAGTCCAGAGCTTAACTGATTAATCCCAGCAAGCCAGCCATAGCTTTACAGTGGGGTAGTGGATAATCCCAGCAAGCCTTCACCTTTAGTTCCACCAACGTTCAGGCTGGTTTCTGCCTATGAGGCTGGAACCAGATTTTTTGAGCCTGCATCAATCCATGTGCCTCCTGTCAGCTTGAATTCAACTCCCTGCTGACTTGAACTACACTCTTTAACCTCCTGTTGACTTGAACTTGAGACCCTCACCAAGACACCAGGAACCACTACATGGAGTCAGCCTGTAGCTGTTCTGAGTTCTGAGCTCAGTTGGCCCTTCTCCAAAATGGCTACCAGCCAATCACCCTCTCCTGGGTGAAACCTGAACCCAAATAACTCACTAGCCACTGCAGTCTGCTGTATCCAGTGCTCTGTTCCACTGGTCCAATGCTCCATGGAAGCCTCTGGGGTTATGAGTAGTTGCAGTGCATCTGCAGATTTGACCCACCATTACCACACCATGAGTCTGGGCTCTGGGAGAAAGTGCTGCTTGCTATCTCCCTCCTCTTTGTTAGTCTCTCTATTTGCTCTCCCTGTGAACTTCAATTCTTTTTTTTTGGTACTGGGGCTCGAACTCGGGTCCTTGCACTTGCACAGCAGGTGGCAAAACCACTGAGCTAAATCCCTGGCCCCTGGACTTCAATTCTTGCTTCAGATCCTTCCTGGGTCCCAAGGACCCACTTCCTCCTTCTTCTCCTGTTCACACCACTATATTCCAGTTTCAGGACACTAAATCTTAAGAGAGGCTCTTTCTCTGCTGCTCACCACTCTGCCATCTTCCCAGAAGTCTCTCAGTGAGTTAAATATGGTTGTACAGAAATGCTATTGATTTTTTCTTATATCCTGTTACATTGCTGAATTTGGTTATAAATTGTAGAAGTCTTGTAGTGGAATATTTGGATCTTCTATGTAAAAGATCATGCCATCTGCAAGTAATGACAACTTGACGTCTTCCTTTCCTATACATATCTTTTTTAGTGCCTAAGTGCTCCCACTAATGTTTTGAGTACCATGTTGACCAGGATTGGACATACTTATTTTGTTCCTGATTTTAGAGGGAAAGCTGTCAGCTTTTCCTCAATTTTAGTATATGTACTGCTTAAGTGAGCACAACTTTTCCCCATTATACATGATGCTGGCAGTGTTTATCACAATTGGCTTTCATCGGGTTGAGATCAAGTTCTTCTATACCTATTTTCTTCAAGGTTTTTTAAAAAAATCATTAGTGAATGGTGGATTTTGTCAAAAGCTTTTTCTGCATCTATTGAGATGATCATATGTTTTTTGTCCTTGCTTCTGTTTATGTGGTGTATTGCATTTATTTATTTCCATATGTTGAACAATCTTAACATCTTTAGGAAGAAGCCAACTTGGTCTTTTGGATAATTTGCTACATTGTTTGCTAGTATCTTGTTGGGAACTTATGCATCTATGTTCTTTAAAGAGATTGGCCTGTAATTCTTTTTGATTGGATTAGTGTCTGGTTTTGGAATCAGTAATGCTAGCTTCCAGGAAAGGTTTTGGGAGTACTCCTTCCCTTTCTGTTTCATTAACGTTTGAGGAGTACAGTGGCATCTTGGTTCACGAATGCTTTGTTTGTGCACAGTTTGGTTCACAACCAGAAGAGTTTTGTTTTTGTTTATGAACTCTGCATGGGGTAATGAACATGACAATGGCCTTTCCCGCACAAACACAACTGTTGCCATATTTTCCAGAATCATGGCACAAAGCTTTTTTTTTTTTCCTTTTGGTACCAGAGATCGAATTCAGGACCTTGCACTTGCGAGGCAGGTGCAGCATCACTGAGCTGAATCCCTGGCCCTTTTCCAGAATCATGGAACGAATTAAGTTCATAAACCAAGGTACCACTGTATTGGCATTAGATCTATCCTGAAGTTCTTGTAGAATTCAGCAGTGAATCCATCATGTCCTGGGATTTTCTTAGTTGTTAGGTTTTTTATTGCTGCTTTAATTTCACTATTACTGGATTGTTCAGAGTTTTTATATCCTCTTGGTTCAGTTTTAGTCATTTGTATGTTTCTAAGAATCTATTTCTTCTGGATTGTCCAATTTATTGCAGTACAGGTTTTTGAGGTAGTTATTAAGTCTCCTGAACTTTGGTGGCATCTATTGTGATTTCATCTTTTTCATTTCTAATTATTTATTTGAATCTTTTTTTTGTTGTGGTGGTAAGATTGTCTAAGGGTTTATCTAGTTTCTTATTTCAAAGAACCAGCTATTTGATTCATTGATTCTTTGTATTTTTTGTCTCAATTTGATTTATACTCTGATATTTATAATTTCCTTCCTTGTACTGGCCTTGCTTTTGAGATGTTGTTTTTCTAGCATCTTGAGGTACATCACTAGGTTATTCATTTGTGCTTCTCTGTTTTTATGATGTGGACATTCACAGCTATAAACTTCCATTTGAGGAGTGCTTTCATTGTGTCCCATAGATTCTGGTATGTGATAATAGCATCATTTGATTCTAGTATCTAATTTCTTTTTTGATTTTTTTCTGTGACCCACTGATTATTGCTAGTGCAAGAGACTCCTGTAGTCTCTAGTCCCCACCTGCCCAGTGTGCAGTGCAAGGTTGAAGAAAAACTTAAGACAGAGTTAAAGAGAAAGTGTGAACTGGGATGGCCAATGCTCCTTCGGCAAAAGGCACTGGCCTGTCTCTTCCACCAAATTTTATTATTCATCAATCAGGGTAAAGGTGCATGTATAAGTGTGCAGTATGTGAAGTTACCATGGAAACTAACACAGGCAAAGCTTTAAAGAGAAGTCAAAGCATTTTAAAATTAGAAGCAAGATAGACAGGGCCGGGGATTTAGCTCAGTGGTTCTGCTGCCTGTGTTGCAAGCCAAGGTGCCAAGTTCAATCCCCGGTACAAAAAAAAAAAAAGAAGCAAGATAGACAAAATACATGGTTGTAATTAGAGCATTGTCCTTCAAACTATGAAGGCACTAATTGTGGGAATGGAGTTTGGGTGCCATTACTCTGACCACAGCTACAGATGTTATCTCGTATTAGCCCCACATCTTCATAGGTCATTACTATAGTGTCAGTTGTGGTCGTCAGTGGAGGTCATATTAACCTGCACGCTACTGCAGTGCTCATGAGATACTTCTGAGTCACATAGCTTCAGTCAGATTTGCTTCTTAAAGTAAGCCAATTGAAGGATATAACTCTTTGCAACCTGCACCGCTTACAGCATGTTCAATATTGTGGAGTCTGGCAGTTAGGGCTTGTGTCTAGATGTTCCCTCAAAGCTTCATGTAGTCATAGGTGGGGCTTTTCAGGGGTGGTTGGATCTAGTGTGTGAGATTACTAAATTAATCCACTGATTGGTTTGGCATAGTTCTGGGTGTGAGTGCTACCTGCCCTAAGGGTGTGTAGCCTGGATAAGATTTAAGGGACAGAAAGAGGGTCCCTTAACCCTACTTATTCCCTGCTGCTTGCTACCTACCTGGTCTGTGATGTCCCTCTTACCATGCCACCCTGCCTTGGAGCCAGCCGATTATGGACTGAAACTTTACAAACTGTGAGACAAAATAAACTTTTCCTCCTTTAACTTTGGGTATTGTCAACAAGCAAAGTAAGACAGTTATTCAAAAGTGTATTGTTTAATTTCCATGTGTTTGCGTAATTTCTATAGGTTCTTTTGCCACTGACTTCTTGTTTCATTGCACTACAATCTGACAATATATATGGGATGTTTGGTTCTTTTTGTATTTATTTAAGCAAGCTTTTTCAGCTCGTACATTTTGGAGAAAGGTACACATGCTGCTGAAAAGTATGCATTTTTTGTTGGGTAGAACATGCTGTAGGTATCTATTAAGTCCATTTGTTCAAAGGTTTGTTTCATCTCTCATATTCCTTTGTTGGTATATTGTCTAATTGATCTATTTGTGACAGAGGGGACTGAGATTTCCCCTCTACAATTGTGTGGATGTTTATCTGATCTTTAATATCCAGTAATGTTTCTTTTATTAAGTTGGGGACATCAGTGTTCTGTACACATATATCTGTAATTGTTATCTCTTCTCATTGAATTATTCCCTTAGCCAATTACTTCATTATATATTAAACATCATGTTGTTCACGGAAGGCATATCAAAACATGTTGTACACCTTAAAAATTATCTCAAAAATTGTTTTGAGTGCAGGCCCAGAAACTAACAGAACTCTGTGTTATGGTTTTTACCAAGTTAAGATGAACCTTCTAGAGTCAGGAAACATATTCTCAATCTTTCCCACCCAATGCATCCATCGTTTTTTTTTTCCCCAAATGCTATCAGGTTAAAGGTTAGAAGATGGGAGATCTTCTGGGCTACAGGGAACTTGGCTTATTTAATATTAGTATAAGGGCCGGGGATTTAGCTCAGTGGTTCCACAGCCTGCCTCGCAAGTGCAAGGTCCTGAGTTCAATCCCCAGTACCAAAAAAAAAAAAAAAGAAAAAAAGAAGGCCATAGACAGTACCCAACCCAAACTAATGGGTGTGGTTGTTTGCCAATAATATTAGTATAAAGTGGCTGATTCTTCTTCACAAGCCCTGCACAAGTGAATTTAAGGGTATATTTTAAAATAGAGTTAATTTCCAAGTTTCTCAGGTGAGACTGATTTTCTTCTCAATTAGAGGAGAATTTTTGTCCTATCAGGTTCATCATGTTTCTCAAAACACAGACGGTAGTAAAGGAGGAGGCAAGATATAAGATTTTTATTATATGCAAATTAGGCTTGAAAGGTATTCATTATTAGTAGTAGTAGTAGTATTTTTGGTACCAGGGATTGAACTCAGGACCTTGCGCTTTTGAGGCACAGGCCGGAATCACTGAGCTAAATCCCCCACCAGTATTTATTATTTTTAAAATTATGCCAAAGATACAGCTGGGTAATGGGTGCACATGTCTGTAATCCCAGCACTGGGGAGGCCCAGGCAAGAGGATCGGTTTGAGTCCAAGATCAGTGTGAACTACACAGTGACACTCTGTCTCAAAAAACAAAACAAAACAAAAATTATGCCAAAGACAAATCAAGTGCAAAAACATAATACATGTATAGTTAAACAAACCTTTCCCTGTGAAGACAAAATGATTGAGAAATTTTATTTTCCCTTTTGAAAGGGCTGATCTAGATAATAATATGGCTGCAGGTGGTAAATTCACATTGCTCCCTTCAAGTCTTTCAGAACCATATTAAGGAAGGGCTGGCTGGTGCCTTGACACAGGTTGATATCCAGGTCTTACAAGTCAAGGGCCCACTGGACAGACAGGCTCTTGTCCTCCACACCAGCCACCATGTCTTCAATAGCATTCCAGTCAAGCTTGCTGAGGATGCTGCCGGTGCTCTCAGACACGTTGTCTGTGCCACCCACCCCAAAAGGAGGCTCAAGCTCTTCTTCAGTTGGTGACAAGTCCTATGGAATTGAGAAGATAATCAGTCATGGTCCTAGGGTGCCAGCCATCAAAGGGCTGAAGGAAATATGAAGGGAACCCGGGCTGTGGTCCCTCAGCACATCATGGTTGAGAGTGAGCTGAGTATCACTTGCACAGGTGCTGGTACCATATCTGAAGGGTGGGGAGGATGGACTTTGACAGCTCTGGTGCAATGATCTGCTTTTCTATTTCTGTTGTTTTTAATTTAAAAAGATACAAAGCCAAGGAGAATTATGAAAAACAAATGCTGGAGTACTAAGCCAAAAGAATGGAATTAGTATCTCAAACTCACCTAACAATCAAGAACAAGCAATGAAGAACACAGAGCAATCATTACACAAACTGAAGTTCAGAGCAACTTTTACCCGTGGAAGAGAATTGTGACTCTCATGGAGGATCTTGTGGATTTCTTCAGGTAAGGTCCAAGGGCTCACCACCATCTCCTCTCTCTCATACTCCATACACACCTCCTTTGTTGGGCCTGCAAGGCCAGCATGCCTGTGGTTTTTTGTATGCTGCAGACTGCTACCTGGAGCATTACAGCCTTTCAAAGGAAAGGACAAAACATACACTAGGGCTGACTGATTCAGTAATTCACTTGTGAATTTACTGTCAAAGCCAAGGCAGACACTTTTTACCTAATACAAATATTCCTTGTTTAACAACTTACCTGTTTAATGACTGTTCAGATTTACAACTGGTGTAGGCTGTTTGGACTTTTGACCCACTGCTCAGACTTGCTGCAGGAATATCAGTGGCAGTGCGGGATCATGGTGGCTTCTACTTCTGTACTGTAATGTACATACTATATATAGCTCCTCATTTTTATTTATTTAGGTTTTCTTTGAGATAGGGTCTCACTATGTAATTCAGACTGGCCTTGAACTCACTATGTAGCCTATGCTGGCCTCAAACTCATGGCGATCTTTCTGCCTCAGCCTCCCAAGTGCTGGGATTACAGTGTGCACCACCACATCTGGCTCTACAACTCCCAATTTAGCAACTAGTTCATTAAACGATCTAGTATGTAGCAGAAACAGAACTCAGTTGTTAAATGAGGAATGTCTGTATTTGAATCACAAGGTCTGGATATGTATGGTTCGCTTCACTATTGAGTTCTAATTCTTGTCCTGTCAGTATGTGATATAAATTTAATTCTGGCCGCCTCTTTTGATCTGAAAAATAATAGTGATTAATCTCTAGCATAGAAAAGTCTAGGGAGGAGAGGCCTCAGACACAACTGGGGAGATAATGAGTGTTGTGGACGCGTCCCAGGTGCTTCCTTAGGCATCTTCACCCAGGCTTCCGCTCAGAACTTGCCTTTGGGCCCAGGTGTCAGGGTAAGCACAGTGACAACACTTTATCACCTTCTTCCTCCTTTCCACACACATCAGTATTTGTTAAAAAGAAACTTTCATCCTAACTGGTGCCTGAGAACAGCTTAGCAAACCCATCAATTAACAGGGCTTCTCTCCATCAGGCCACAGAAGAGCTTGGCCTACCTAACACATTTAGTGTTCTCATCTAACGCGACAGCACATTTTACCCCCTTTCAAGGTGATTTCCTAAAGAGACACCTAAGGCTTGAGGTGAATCAGGAAGTAAACACAGGTCCCCCTGGGCAGTCATGCTTGGGATAGAGCAGTGCTGGTGAACCTGTGGCACGCATGCCGCAGCAGGCTGTTTGTATCACTGAAAGCTCCAAGAGGCTCATCATTACTGGCATGGAGTTAAGTGTTCTATAGCTGTATTATGTTTATTGTTCTAAGCAGATGTGAAGGTCTCTTCTCAAAGCCTTGGGGTCCTCAGCTATAAAATGGCGATAATGCAGTAGTTGTTACTTACCAAGGTTATTCTGCAGATCTGCACTGTTACAGTTTGTATTTTGTAGGTGAGAAAACTGAAGCTGACATAAATGGGGTCAGAAATTTGCCCAAGGTTACAGAATCAGCAATGAACTAACTAGAACTTCAGATAAGCTAACTCCAAAGCCTCTTTTCTGAAGTACTGTACTACAAAAACCATACTCTTCATTCTGAAACCTGTATTTGAAACTTCCAATAGTGATGTATAATTGTTCAAAACTTAGTATTAACTGTAAGAACCTTCTATTCTTTCTTTATCCCTTACCTTTCCGGATGGTAACTGGAGACTGTACAGCTTTCCTTACTGCTGTTTTGGTTCCACCCACTCTTTTCTGGATGGTGAAAGTGGCAGTTCCTAGAAGCAGACATGACTGTTTAGCCTCCCATCTGTAGCCATTTTTTTTTCTTTTCTTGGTACTGGGGACGGAACTCAGGACCTTATGCTTGTGAGCCAGGTGCAGAGCCACTGAGCTAAATCCGGTCCATGCAGCCATGCTTCTTCGTGTTTTATCCTCTAAGTTCTTTGAGAACAGAAACTAAATCTTCCAATCAGCTCTGAATCCACTCACCAAACCCTGCTCAGAGTAACAGCCTGGTAAGTGGTGCTTGACGTGGACCAAGAAAGCAAAATAAAAGTGCAGACAAAAGAAGAGGGCTCAAAGAGCTCTACTTTGAGATTTGGTGTGCTTAGAATGTAACTGTGGCCCCTTCTCAAATGGCAAATGTATTTTGATAATATCTCTGGCAGCTGAGAAAGCCAGGGACAAGTTAAGCCCAAGGTTTAGCGGTAAACACCTAGATAAAATGCAAGTTAATTTCCACCAAGAGAATGATTAAGGTTTCTTTCTGTCCATTTTGCAGTGCAGGGGACCAAACAGAGGGTGGCAGCCTTGCTAGCCAAGTGTTCTACCACCAAGCTACACCCCTGATTAAGTCTTAAATTTAATCTTTCCAAGCAATTGCAAAATGTTTTGCTTACAATCCTCAACAACTCTCTGAGGTAGGTTTTATTTACTTATTCATTTTTAGATTCTGGCTCTTGCTATGTTATCCAGGCTGGCCTTGAATTCCTAAAAGAAAGAGATCATCTTGCCTCAGCCTGCCCAGTGGCGGGGACTAGAGGTATGCACCACCACACCAAGAGGGGTAAGTTTTAAGTAATTACCTAAGAATATCTAAGGGCAAAAATTAGGCAGCAGAGCTGGGGTGTGAACCTAAGTCTAGGTGACTCTAAAAACCTAGTCCTTTCTTGAAACTAAGTGACAAGTTAGGTAAGATAATAGCCAGGCACATGATAGTGTTGTCTGACGTGGCATAAATGCTATAATACCCACCTATTAATATCCTTGAACAATAATTTGTTCATATACAGCTATTTGGAGACAAAAAAAGCCAAAAAGTCATCTTTTCAACTTATCCAATTTTTCAAGTATTTAATTTGTTCAATGTGGGGGTAATGTAGGGATGAGGAAGACAGTGTTGGTATACTGTGGGAATTTAGTCTAGTGGGGGTGCAAAAAGTTTACAAGCAACTAGAACACAAGACATTGTTGTGCTCCAAGAGGGGTATAAACATGTGAATAAGGGCTCACAGGACAGAAAAATAACTATTTTAGTTACCATTTATCTCTAGTTTTCACAACAAACATGTATTAGCCTCAACCCAGAAATGACAATGGTGAATTTAAAACTGAATATATCAAGCTCAAAGAACGAAAGAATTGAGATCAGGGATGTCTTCAAAGACACAGAAATGACACTTATTCATAAATCCTAGAATTTCACCTAAGAGTGGGAGTACAGCAGCATGGTGTGTGGTTGGTTGGTAAATGAGTGTAAGGCAGCCCTGGTGACATGGGGAGAGGAGGCAGAGGAAGCTGCAAGAGCTGTTGGAGGATGGCGTGAAGGCCAGACAGAAGGTCTGGACTGGCTGTGGGCTTCCAGGGCTGCAGCAACACACTCATCCACACGGTCCAGGAGAGCAGGGGGACAGGCAGAGGGTGGCTCAGGCAGCCGCAGGCAGAGTGCAAGGTGACGACTAAGGCCTGGCCATGGGACAGACACAAGAGGGAGACACACTTCCATGTAATCCAAGACTTTCTCATCAGTTATTACGAAACCAAGATTCAGGGCTTTAAAACTTGGCCAATGTGGGGGAATTTCTTTATTTAATTTTGGCAAATATATCATGTGAAAAAAAATTGTTTAAAGAGAGCATGGTTCATTATTTTGAAATTCTAGTTTAAAAAGAGTAGTATTTTCTTGCTGAAATTTGACAATCAAAAGATTGTCAAGAGTTAGGGCCAGGGATTTAGCTCAGTGGTGGGGCCACCTGCCTCCCAAGCACAAGGTCCCGAGTTCGATCCCTGGAACAACAACAACAACAACAAAAGCAACAGTTAAATTTTATCAAAAGGATTGGAATTTAGGGAATTTCTATATTCTGAATTGAGTTAGCATATCATTCTTTGTTTTTGGGTACCAGGGATTGAACTCGGGTCCTTGTGCTTGCAAGGCAGGCGGCAGAACCACTGAGCTAATTCCCTGGCCCTGAGTCAGCATACTGAGGTATAGGTTCTAAAGTGTATAGATTCTAGACCCAGACTGGGATTAAATTTTTGCTTTACCACTTCTGAGCAGTTGTTATGTAACCTTTCTCTGTCTTGGTTTCCTCATCTTTAAAATGAGAACATAATAGTATCCATGTCACAGAGTTGTAATTAAGAGCATAAACAGAACTTGGCACGTAAGTTAGTTACTAGAATTTTTCTTTCTTTTTTTTTTTTGGTACTGGGGATTGAACTCGGTACCTTGCGATTGTGAGGCAGGCACCAGAACCACTGAGCTAAATCCCTGGCCCAGTTACTAGAATTTTCAACATTATACATTTTTAGTACATTATTATCTACTGTTGTACATTTTAGTGTACAGGCATTCTACACCTGTGTTCTACTATAGTAATCAGAACCCAAGCAGAGTAAAATTAATTAAGAAAAGCTAGCAATAGGGCTGGGGATTTAGCTCAGTGGTTCTCGCACCTGCTGCATAAGTGCAAGGTCTTGAGTTTGATCCCCAGTATCAAAAAAAAAGAAGAGCCAGCTATAAATAACAGATAAATCTTCAAATGTGGAAAAGGATGCCTACATCTTTATCAGACACAAAAAAAGAGGAAGATTCCCCAATAACTTACAACTAATTCCTGTTCAAATTCCATTACAAAAAGGCAATTAGTTAAAAAATATTCACAGGGCCTTCCTTATTTCAAAGCAAAAGAACAGTATCATGATATAGCAAAGTCTTTCACCAATCCCTTACGTTCTGTTGAAATCAGAATCCTTTTTTACTATGATTTGTAGCTTTTACTAATAAAACCACAACATTAGAGACAAGAAGGGACAGGTAGTGATCACACTAGATAAAAGAGCTTTAAATGGGGAAGGGAAGAAAGGATGAAGGGAAGAGAGCAGAATGGGAAAAAAGAAGAATTAAGACATATTATGTACAGGCATAAATTCCTTATGATGAATGTGATCATTACACATGACAAATATGTACTAATAAAAATCCCCACCCCACAAAGAGCTTTAAGCCTTACCATGTGGCCGAGGTGAGCCCTGAGGTTGTCCAAGAGGTTTCCTTGTATGGGTATAACTTGATTTGGATACATATCTGACTTTTCCAGGTCGATTTATTGGAAAATTGTGCCCATGCTGATTCTCTCTGAAGCAGAAATTACACTATTATTATATCCCAAGAATGTCATAGTGATAAAATTTAGTATTTCAAAAAGCCCAAATTATAGCCCAGATTAATATGTTCACTTAACACTGCTTATTCTATACCTCAGTATTACATTTAATGTTGCTAACCCACAACAAATAATTATTTGTCATTCATATCTCAAATAATTCATTTTTTCAAAGGTTGTTTTTAGTTATCTCTCTACCCATTTCAAATGTACTTAATCACTTGCTTCATTCTGAAAAAGATTCAAAGGGAACTTTTGGTATTTTGAGTAAACGCCATACCAGCCACACAGGTGAACTGATTATATCTGAATCGGTATCGGTAGCATTTCTTATAGCCTCATAAGTTATGTGATTATGTTTATAATTCTAATCTTTACTTTATTAAAGGTGGTAATTTTTAACAAAATGTGGTCAATTCATGCTCATAACATAGATCATCCACAGACCTAACTGTGCATTATTTGTTTGCCATTTATAGGAAACTGTACAACTGGATACTACTTCTGCCTGATGGACTTATATCCAAACATTAATTTAAGGTGAAATATACAACAGTGCCAAAAGTGGATGAGGCAGGGCAGGGCGGGGGGCAGCAGGAGAAATGGCCAATTGGTAAGGGCTGACTGTTCTGCTAGAGTGAAGACCACGGGTGAAGAAACAGGATGTAGTTAGGAGGAAATAATAGAAGCAAATCTTAACAGAAATTGTTATAGCTTATCTACATGTCCCCTCAAAACCTCATGGGCTCACAGGTGGGTGCTTTTTGGAGGTGGCTGTATCTAAGCTGAGAACTTCGATTATGGGTGCATGATCACTTGATCACTAAATTAGCCCACTGATTGGTTTAGCATAGTTTGGGGTGTGGGTAACACCACCCAAAATGCTTGTAGCCTGGATGAGATAAAAAGGAAAGGGTGGCTTTTTCCTGCTTCACTTTGCTGTTTGCTGCTATTGCTCTCTGCCTGCCCTGCCATGGACTGTTTCTCCTCTACCATTCCCCTCTGCCATGCCACCCTACCCTGGAGCCTGCCAACTGTGGACTGAAACCTCTACAAACTTTGAGCTAAAATAACATTTCCTTTTTTTTTTTTTTTTGGTACCGGGAATAAAAAATCTCCTCCTTTAGCTTTGGGTGTTGGGTATTTTGTCTCAGTATTGAGAAAAGTAACTAAGACAGACACTGAAGAAAAAATGACTGAACAGATATAAAATTTTGTACTTCAGGTGTCCTGAAGTGCTTTGTTATAGTACAGTCAGATATGCCATACCATTTTGCCTTTTCCCTTCTTGATTTTATAAATTTATAAAGCCCTCATAATTATAGGGCTATGTCTTTTCTTCATTTTGTCATCACAACTGTAAGCAAGGTAGACGCAAAACACCGAACTTGGGTCACAAAAGCCTCATCAGGGCTGTCATTATTTTGCCAAATGACATGCCTAACTTTCTTTGTCTTACCACCTTGGAGAAGGGCAGCGGTGCTGTCCACAATGCTGAGCAATGGTGGGTTTGTTAGACAATGGTTTCTGTGCAGTTGCAGGGAATTGTGCTGACTCTGACAGCAGTTCATTCATCAGACTGTATGCTTGTGAGATTCGCCGACTATAGTGGTTAGAGAGTAGCAATCTTTAGAAAAAGAAATTAATGAAATAATTAAACATCAATTTATTCAGTCACTTTCACTTCATATTTCTAGAGGTGTGGACACAGTACTTTTGCTTTTTTCAATGCTCTTTAAGTCCTTTTGTTCATCAGATTTCTGAAAACCATTATGCAGTATAGTATATTGTGAAAGAAGACTATGGTATGGCATTGGGGTATTTCCCCAATGCACATACTTACCTGGGTTAGGAAAGGGAGAACTGCAGAAATAGGTCATAAAAACTGGATGGCACAAATAATATTTTTAAGCAAATTCTGAAAAAGGCTAACAATAATATCTCCCATAATTTTCTGTTTATTGAACAGAGAAACTGCTGTAAACAGTGCAATTCTGAAGGCACAGTCTATGCCCAGGGCGAGAGAGGTAGAGAGAATGCCCAAGGCACAGCTACCGAGCTTACCTGTCTTTTTCTTGCTTCATCTTCTGTTGCAGCCTGATTTCCCTTGAAGTCATGTAAAACTGCAAAAGAAATATCTAGTTAATTCATTACTGTTCAGTCCAAATAATTAAACCATTAGATACAATTCAATTATTTAGGAAATAGTATAAAACAGTGTCATATTTGATAAAGCTTTCTATGTTTATACAAAATATGAAAATGTTAATTAAATCACACAATTAACGTAATATACAAGTTAATAAATGAAATATAAAATGTATTTTAGTAGTTAATATATTATGTTAAAAGGGGAGAAACTTACTAAGCTGCACATAAAATGGAAAATAACATTTTCAGGGATGAAGACATCTAAAGCTTGTAAACAATCATGTGATTAATCCCATTAACATCTTGGCTGAAAAAGCAGAAATAACATTTAAAATAATCATTTTAATACTGTAAAATGTTTACCAAAAGCCTATTGTAGTGAGTTCACTGTGACTTGTAAATTCAGTGAGTGGTACCTTGGTTCATAAATGCTTTTATTTGCAAATAATTTGGTTCGCAAACAGAAGCATTTAGCAAAATTTTCTTTTTGTTTTGTTTTCAAACTCTGCATCAGGTAACAAACACGACATGGCCATCTTTTCCAGAACTGTAGAATAAATTAAGTTCGTGAACTGAGGTACAACTGTATTTCAAATTATATGTACCAGGAAGGAAAACTAACAAATGTCAATTATTTGTGGAACATTAAGAATTACTGTTGGGGCTGGGGATTTAGCTCAGTGGTGTTGCCGCCTGCCTGCCTTGCAAGCACAAGGTCCTGAGTTCAATCCCCGGTACAAAAAAAAAAAGAATTACTGTTGTAGGGCTGGAGATGTAGCTCAGTGACAGAGCACTTGCCTTACAAGTTCAAGGCCTTCGGTTTAACCTCCTTCACCACAACAAAAAACAGAAAGAAAAGAAGGAAGGAAGAAAGGCAGGGAGGGAGGGAGGAGGGAATTACTGTTCTGAGTTGCATGCGTCTTTTCATACATAATTATGTTTGTAAAAAGGGGCATCCAAAAGTAAATTCACTTTCTGAAGGTGCTAAAGAGAAATAGTCTGCAACAAACTAAAGATCTTGCTGATTTCAAAGAAATTCAAGTGAACATTTTAATCACATTAACCCCTCATTAATCCCAAACCTTCACCCCAGTAGATGCTAAAAATAAAGAAACAAGTATTTATGATATTGAGCATGACATATCACAGGGCCTATGAACCAAAAAGCTCTTATGACCTTGTTAACTTATTTTAAATTTGGACACAATTCTAACCATCTTGGGTATTCACTTGGCTGACAGGGAAGGTAGTATTAGACCTCACCCCTCATGGGCCAGGGGAACACACACTCATTCACACACATGCATACGGGCGGGCACATAAACACACTTTAACATTCTGCTCATGTACCTCAGGTAGTTCTGAGGGTCCCTATCTTGTCTGCTGAGGTTATCAAAAAATGTTAACACCAACACGCTCTTTTGCAAGACCGTTTTAAGTAAATTACACATTTTATTTATTTATTTATTTTTTGGTACCGGAGATTGAACTCAGGACCTTGTGCTTGCGAGGCAGGTGGCGAAACCACTGAGCTAAATCCCCAGCCCTGTAAATTACATATTTTAAATAAAAGTTCACCTACTGCATCATGTGGAGCTTAAACAGGACAACCTTACCTGGAAAATTCACTTATAGAATGTTCTCCTACAAATGCTTTAAAAATCAAGTACCATTATATTTCACTTTATTTCAGATTACAAAGTAAGAGGGTGCAGGTATCTTATAGACAGAAAATCAAGTTTTAAAAATGTTTTTATTAGACACACAGTCAGGTGTTCATTCATTTTGCCACTGACTCTCATTGAAAATTAAATAACTGGTCTCTCAATCTCTCAACCTCCTTATTTGGTTAAAATGCTACAACCAGAATTAGCCAGAGGGAAACAAGAAATTTAAGATCCTTCCGTAAAGACAGTGTGCACAATATCCTGCTACATGGTTAAGATGATTTCTTAACCTTTCCTGACTTACAAAAAATGGTGACTGTTCCATCTTCCAATAAAAAAGGCATTCAAGTTATGTTAAACTTTTCCTGAGTACTGGCCAGGAAAAATTATACATAGCCCATGACAATTCCATCCCCCAGGACACCACAGACTTACTGGATTGCCTCTGGGGCAGAAAGGACTGTGTTCTTGCCCTCTCTTTTCTGCCAGCTGATTTAAATATTCTGCCATTCTTTCTTTTCTTTTTCTTTTCATCCAAACTCGAATTTCTCTTCTCTCTTTCTCAGTTCTTTGTGGACATCTGCCAGAAGAACGTGGAATCCTGAAAAATTTAACATGTACGGCATCATTTGCTTTTAAATTTGTGATGCAGATAAGTATCAGAACTAAAACTATTTATTTGGAAAGATTTTGTCCCATCTTGAAAGGTGAATACACTTATACTCTCTAGTCAATTTGCTCCCCATCTGTTCCCTGAACTCCAAAGAAAATGGTCTCAGAAGGGCCACTAACAAGTTCTCTGCAAAATTTGCTTCAAATTCTTTCCCTCTTTAAACTCTTACCTTTACCTTTTCTTAACTCTTAAACACTATACAGCCTCGTACATTGGTTCCCTTTTCTGTTCATGACTTCAAGTATTAATATGGTCTGTTTTGAACTTGCTTATTTATGATCTACTCCATGGACTATCTCAATCACTCCAAAAACTTACACACACAGGTGACTTCTGAGCTGTTCTGGCTCTACCCCCACCTTTAGACCCATGTCACACTTCCCTCCGACCGGCTGAGTTAATGACTAACCAGGCAGGAATGCTGTGACTGGCCTATTTCTGCAAACTCTGTGGATGATACTGGCTTGAGGCCTTATCATCAACCTGGATGAAATGTTCTTAGAGCTATGCTGCATTCTGAGACCCTGTCTCCCTCTTTGCTTCCTTTTTTTCTCACAGCCATGTGCCCAACAAATCTCCTGCCCATCAATCTCATCTTGGCTTCTGCTTCTCGGGGGTCCAAACTAATGCAAGTGGCACTACTGGTAAACTGGGAAAATGGGTGCTTGGAGATGGGCCCTGGGGGCAGACGCTCAACCAGAGTGTGAAGAAGACACCATGTCAGATGGGTCACAGACACACACAGTGTGCTTTATTCTGAACACTTACTGTCGTTCTCAGAGTCTGGATCGTAGAACATGCCAGGAAGTACCTCAATAAAACCACCAAGAATCTAATATGCTTGCCTGGTGGACATTTCACATGTGTTGTCACAACTTGTTACTAAAAGTTGGGTGTGTCCTTCTATTCTGGGAACCCTGTGCCTAGTTTCCCCTGGAACTTATCCCAGTGAACCTTTTCCCTTTGCTGATTTTGTTTGTTTGTTTTTGGTACTGGGGATCAAACTCAGGACCTTGCGCTTTCACAGCAGGCGCCGAAACCACTGAGCTAAATCCCCGGCCCCCATTTGCTGATTTTGCTTTGAATCCTTTTGGTGGAATAAATTATGGCCATAAACATGACTACAGTATATGCCACATTTTGTGAGCCCTCCTAGCACAATGCTGCCCCTAGCAGTGATCTTGGGGATCTCCCAGCACAAAGTCAGATCCACATCAGGACCGCAGTCTGATAGCTGGTCCCCATCTTGTATGGCTCCCTCCCTTTCCCTTCACAGGTATTTCTCTAAATAAATCTCTTGTTCATCTAAATCACATCCTGGCATCAGCTTCTCAAAGGACTTAAAGCTGATGTATTACCAACTGAATACTCTCCTGGTACCTTGTATCTTAAACCATATTCTTCAACTTGCTAAAGAAATCACCATCAATTCAGTCATCCAAAAAAATCTATCACTCTCACCTTCTGACAGACTGCAGTGTTTTCTTGGCCCTGTGACCTGCACTCTCCACAGGAGTACCTCATCCCCAGACTCCGGAAGTAAAGTCTTCTTACTGATGCCCAGTTCAGGCTGAGAGCCTTTGCTGACTCCCCTGTTGTCGACCAATGAGGCGAACTCAGCAAGTGCCCCTGGTCCCCAGACTCTCCCGTCCATGCACAAACTCTAGCCACATCTAAATCCTGCCCTCACCATCACTGTAACACTGCACAGGATACTCTGCCTGGAATATCGTTCCTTTCAGTTAGCAGCCATTAACAGACTAGAATTTTTCTTGATCCTTTGTGATACAGATCAAATTTCTGAACCAGTGAAGCTGCCTTCTCTGGCTTTCTTCTCATAGCACACTCATATAACTTGGTATTAACAGTTTATCTCCATTCAAGAGCAGAAACCAAATTTTATTTTTATTCTAATTCTTGACATTTCATAGACTACTGGTGAAATATTTATAACACAATCATTAACTTCAGGGAAAAAAAAGAACAACTAGGAGTTAACTAAGCGTACTAGTTTAGAAAGTTAGGATTTACATGGCCTTAAGACAAGGTCATAACACAGCAGATAGTTCCACTAAATTAATAGAAATAGTCTTTCTTTTGACTTTTCTTGGTGCAGTATTTTCAGGTAATGGCCCTGTAACTAATTATAGTACACTGCATTTTCACTGAGGCAGTAGTAAGTACAACTGAAGTAGGAAATAGATAAATCCCGTAGGTTGATTATTTTATATAAGCAAACCAAGAGGTAGATAAATTTCAGGGAAGTATGATTAGAAGAGTCAGCCTGCATTCTCTCTATACAGGAAGAGTTGTAAAGAGAAAAATTTTAATGTAATGGTCCACACCAAGGCTATTAAAAATATATCCTAGGGCCGGGGATTTAGCTCAGTGGTTCTGTTGCCTACCCGCAAGCGCAAGGACCCGAGTTCGGTCCTTGGTACCTAAATAAATAAATGAATAAATATATCCTAAGGGTAAATATTTAGGATAAAGTACCATGAGCTAAAAAAAAATTTTTTGGGGGGTACCAGGGATCAAACTCTGGACCTTGCACTTGCAAGGTAGGCACAGAGCCACTGAGCTAAATCCCCGACCCTTATTTATTTGTTTATTTATTTATTTATTATTTTTTATTTATTTTACCATGAGCTAAAATATTCATTACTTCTAATAAGCAACAGAGTTAACTGTATGTTGTACTTACAGGGGGAAAGCTCACAGATATGCTATATTAGCTAAATAAGCCAGCCATATCCTATTGAGAAGCTTCACATTTGTTTCATAAAAATTACACTAAAATGTGGCCAATTTTAAACATTCTTGAACTAGAAACATTTTAAGTGGGTTAAAGTGAATTATTCAGTAGCTAAGGGTGCAGCTCAGTGGTGGAGCATGTGCTTAGCATTCATAAGGCCAGAGGTTCCATCCTTCAAATAATGAAGTGAAATGAAATATCTTCAATGATTACCTGGAGATGCTCCTAGCCTGTTGTTCTGTTAAGCCAAGCTCTTCACTGGAAACACCACAGTTAGTTATGAGGTCATCAATAATGTCTGCAATATCAGTCAGTCCAGTCATCTGGAGTGGATCTACTGAAACACTTCAATTACACATGTAATTTGAGAATTAAGTCACCATCTATGACCTAATTACATTCGGCAAAATCAAACATGCAAAACTAGGCCTTTAAGAGCACAGATTTGAAAATGGTAAACATGCGTCTACTCTATTTCTATAATTTTGTTATCTCTCAGAGGAAAAGCATACTCATCAATACAGTGGGCCCTTGACTTTTATAACTAAGTCAATAGAGCTGAGATCTGGATGTTTTACCTGGGTACACTCTAGATAACAAGAGGCATTAACTTAATTAACCCAAGTTATTCGTATGTCAGACCAGTTGTAACTTGAAGGTCCACTGTAATTGATGACTTCATAGGTGCTTTAAAAAAACCTTTAGGTCTATGAGAAGACCTGTGTGAGTCTTATTTGCTGAAATTTAATGAATATTTAGTAAAACAAAATGTAGCAAATGTAGTCTATAGCACTGTAATTATCTATGTTACAATAGCAACGGATACAATACAATACTTTTTAGTTTCTTAAAACACTACATTCCCAGTGGAAATTTAATATATTCCTTTAAACTACAAACATATGTGTAATATAAAAGTTCATATTCATAGGAACAAAGTCTCCAGAACATACACTTATGTCCAAATTTAAGTAAACTAATGAATCAATTCTTAAAATATTTACCTCTCAAATAATTCATCATTGTTATTCATACCTTAAAAGCAAAATATTAATAAAAATTTAAGTCAGTATTTTAACTTTCAATTATTAATCAAATTTAGAAATTATATAACCAGAAACTGAAATATTTAAAAACCTCCCAATTGGTTTAAAGGTACACATGTATATCATATTTAGCCTGCTCTTATATATTTCTATCTAAATATATTTCTATCCTGTATACTCTATAAAATACATTTAAGAAGCACAGCTCTTCTTTGCTTAGAAGATAGTGTTATGGCATACCTAGATGTCCCCCCAAAGCATCATGTGGTTGGTCGTAGGTGGGGCTTTTCCTTTTTTTTTTTGGTCCCGGGGATCGAACTCCGATCCTTGCACTTGTGCAAGCAGGTGGCAAAACCACTGAGCTAAACCCTTGGCCCCTAGGTGGGGGCTTTTCAGAGGTGTGTGGATTAAGGATGTGTGGTACTGGATTAGTCCACTAACTTGTTTACCATAGTTCTGGTTGTGGATAATGGAAGCCATCCTCTGGGTATGAGCGGCACCACCCAAAGGCTTATATCCTGGATGGAATAAAAGGGAAAGGGAGGCTTGGTGCTGCTGGTTGATACTTGGTGCCTCCTGCCTGCTTTTTCCTATCTATTTACAAGGATTTTATCTTTGTTCTTAAGAGTCTGAGCGTATTCAAGTTCTTAACAGCAATTAAATAAATTTAGCCAGGAGGGAAATACTTCACATACATCTAAGATTATAGCAACTATAATAACACAACTGCTAGCTCTTTGCTTAGGAGAAAAGATACTTCTCCTAAGAGAGTGACCATTAAGAAGACACTTTGAGTGACTCTCATGGCCTATTTATGAAGGCAGCTTGAAGGATTCCTTCTAGCACCATCTGAGCTGATGAGAGAAGTGGGTGAGATTTGTCACAGACATGATGACCACTCAGGTTAAAGGTTGAAGTTTTAGTCACTAAACATAGTTACTCTTCCTTCTGGTCTTAGGAAGCCATGCCCACAAGCTCATCGCCACAGTATCTACAAACCTGGGCAAACCTTGTCAAACCTAGTCAAGTTTAATACTTCTAAATCACTACTACTAAAAGAGAACATCTTTTTGCAGAACTTTGGTAACAAGGGCATCTTACAAGATAGAGTTTAGGGCCTTTGGTCCCTGACAAAGATCTTTCTCAATTTAATTATTGTTAAGCCTCTAGCTGGGCATTGTGGTACACATCTGTAATCCCAGCACTTGAGTCTGAGGCCAGCCTGAACTACACAGGGAGACCCTATCTCAAAAAAAAAAAAAAGAAAAAAGAAAGGAAAGCAGGCAGGAAGGAAGGCCTTAACTACTGAAAGAAAAAGATGACAATGATGAGAGTACAGATTAATCAAATTAAAAAATGTGATTAGTAAGAAATAAAATAGGGCTGGGGATTTAGCTCAGTGGTGCCGCTGTCTGCCTCGAAAGCATAAGGTCCTGAGTTTGATCCCCAGTACCAAAAAAAAAGAGAAATGAAATAGTCCTCTTTCATCAAAAAGCAGGAAATGTTATATTTTTAAAAATTCCTTTAAAAGTAGTTACACAGGGAGAGTATATTATTTCATTTTCAAACCAGTTTTGGAACTCTTCTTTTGTGACTGCCTACATAGATGATTTATTAAACGCAATTGATCGGTTTTATTCTTTGATAACTCTGATTCCTTACTTTTAATTCCAAACATTGACACTCAGCCTGTTATTTACTTCATGTATCAGAGGAGCTTCTGAATATCTTATGGCTGCTACCAAAAATTAAATCTATCCTCAGTGAATAAATTATTTGCCACTAAGAATATCCAGAGAAATGTGCTAAGAAATGGAAGTTCATTGCAAAAGAAGAAAATCTAGGGGCCGGGGATTTAGCTCAGTGGTTTCGCCGCCTGCTGCGCAAGCACAAGGACCTGAGTTTGATTCCCGGTACCAAAATAAAAAAAATTAAAAAAAAAAAGAAAATCTAAGCTATTTTTGATCATTAAAGAAAGGAAAAGACAACACATTTTTCTAAATTGCCAACTTTAAAGAAAACACCCATTAGGTGAACTAAATATCTTCATTTTATAAGAATATGATTTCTAAGTTTGGAATCATACATTGACTCTTAGACAAAAACATTTTAATTTATTTACTTTTATATGTGTTACGTGGTAAATAGTGTACCCTATTATTCATATGACAAACCTGTATTTAGTAGGACTAAAGAATGCTACTTTTAATTGTCACTTACCAACTAAACCTAAGTTTCAATACTCTCAACTGAAATACAGGAATAATAATTATATCTTCTTCACAGGTCAGGGTTAAACAAGGGTCTACACAAACAAACAGTGATGTTTCACCTATGACAGAAGCTCAATAAATCTATTTTGTTTTCAAGTTAAATTCAAATTTTCTGATAACTGGCAGGGTTTGAATGTCTCAGTTTTTATAAAGATCAAACATAGTAATTCCAGATGCTATATATTTAGTATTAAGATGTTACACAGATATATAATGTGTAGCTGAAGTATATTTTATGAAATTTTTCCTGTGAATGGCACAAGTTTTAACTCCCGCTCCCGAAATAAATATTACAAAATGATTTCACAAATCCTTCATAAGTATATTACCAAAAGATACAGCTCAGTAAAATAATAATGGAAAATAAGAATGTGTATACATGAAAAACATCTGCAGAACAATACCAGGAGAAATAACATTCTGGTCACTGGAAATGCTGACAACTGAATTGGCAGAAGGGAACACGTGGGGTTTCTGACTAGAATGATTTTCTGTTACTGAAAATTCAGCTTCTGAAGTCTCCTTTTTGTCAGTTTGCTCTTCCTCATCCATGTGAGTCGGGAAATGCACTAATCCAGAGCATATATTACAATTAAAAGAAAACGGTGAAATACAATTGAGGAAAAAAACTGTAACAATTGCTAACATTTCCACATGACAATACAGATATATTAGAAGTTTGCAACAATACTGGACATGAGTGGCGCACGCCTGTAATCCCAGCACTCAGGAAACTGAGGCAGAGGATCGCTGCAAGTTTGATGCCAGCCTGGGCTGCATAGTGAGTTCAAGGCCAGCCTGAATGACACAGGGAGACCCTGTCACACAAAAACAAAAACAAGGGCCAGGGATTTAGCTCAGTGACACCTCACCTGCCTCGAAAGTGCAAGATCCTGAGTTTGATCCCTGGTACCAGGGAAACAAACAAACAAAACAAAACACAAAAAACCCCACCAAAAAAATCCAGAAAGAGTTTGTAGTATATTTTTCTGACACTTTTCTACGGTATAATGAACTAATTTGTTTTGAAATTTCAAATGAAAACTCTCATAGTGAAAAAAAGAAAAACAACTTTTAAGAAAGTATAGAAACGATAATGTAAGATCAGGATGGGCAGATTTGAAAAGGAAAGAACTTCTAGGTAGTAAAAATGTAGCCATTAGCCAGATATGGTGGTGCACACCTGTAATCCAAGAACAGGCAAGAGGCAGAGGCAGGAGGATCGCTGAGAATTCAAGGCTAGCCTGGGCTACATAGTGAGTTCAGGGCCCAGCCTGAACTACAAAGCAAGACCCTGTCTCAAAAAACCGAAAAAAAACAAAAACAAAAACACCCCAAAAATGTAGTCACCAAAATTAAAATCATAATGAATAAAAAAGACAGCAAAGAAGAGACAGCAGGAAAAAAATTAGTAAATGATCTGAAGAAATTACCACAAATAGATAATTGAGAGATAAAGAGGCAGAAATTATGAATGACTGGTTAAAAGAAGTAAGAGTGAGCAGGCCCAACATACCTCAAATGGTGTTTTTAGAATGGGGTAGAAGCAATACTCTAAAAGATAATGGATGAAAAATTCCCAATGTTAAACCTTCAAACAGAAGAACCATTTCTACTTCAATAGAAGATAAATAAAAAGAAATACACATCTAGACACACTGTATCAAAGAAGCAAAATAAGAAGTGAAGATCAAACTTTAAAGAGAGATAAAAGAATACCAATTAGACTACAGCACATAGGCAGTGTGGGCTATATGTTAAGAGTGGTTAGAAATGTCCGTAAATAATGGAATAATATCTTTAAAATACTAAAGGAAATCCTAGACTTAGAACCCTAGAATTACATACTCTATAAACTTTCACTAAAAAATTATAGTAAAATTAAAGCTATTTTCAAAGACAGAGAGAAGTGACCACTCACAGACTGTAGGTGAAGAACTTATAAAGGAAAGGAGAAGGAATCTCAGTCCTTAAAGTGGATGCAAAAGAAGCAACTGTGGGCAAAGCAGAAAACAAGAAATACCAGATTATATAAATTTAAAATGTCTGAAAAAAGTCAGTAAGTTGCCCAGGCTAGGCTCCTGGCTCAGCCTCCTGAGGCAGGGATTAAAGTGTGTGCCACCACACCCAACTCGCAAAGGAAATTTTAACAAATCATCTAAAAACTAATAGCATTGTACACATCATCTAATCACAACATAAGGAAAATGGAAATCAATCATGAAAAACATAGCCCAAATCCACTTAATAAAATTATGTAGACCTAAACACACCAAATGATGTACATGTCAAGATCCTTGGTTAGGTCCATGCAGGAACATGTTTAACCTCAAATGGACATAATTAGTTAATAAGAAAGAATGAAATTAGTAAAAATTCTACAAGTTAACCTCTCCAAAATGGAAGAAATAACAAAAGAATAAAAAAATGCAAATACTAAATAAACAACTACAAATACAGGAGAATGTGAAAACATAACTACTCTAACTTCAATCTTTCAATAAGAAATGAAAACACTGAACAGCTCACCATTGCTTGGCTATTTAATCAGAACCTCAAATACCAGCAACCTTAGCACAATCTGGAGCCAGTGGCCACTTTGCACCATGCTGGCATAAAAGCCAGAGGTGGTTATTGGCCTCTCAGGGAAAAAATAAAAATAAAAATAAAATAAAATAAATTTTAAAATGCCCTTGCAGTAGAAACCAATTACATTATTACAAAAATAATCCTGAGGGCTGAGGTCATAGTTCTGTGGTAAAGTGCATACTTAGTACACATGAAGCCCTGGGTTGAATCCCAGCCTCCCTGTACCTCCCACAAAACAAACGAGCAAAAACCCCAAATTTAATCTAAAAACAGAGGGACTGATAGCTTCAGCTCCCCTGTGAAAATGATTTCTAGTTCTGGCACTCCAACAAGCAATGCTTACTCTTTCAGGTTAAGCAAAGCCAGGCTTTAGTCCCACAACCCCACAAACCTTCTTCAGAAATGCTAATGGCTTTTAAAGCTAATGCTTTTTCAAATTCAGGGCCAGAAGACAATTCAATGTGATCCACTTCTCCAACCTGTTCAAAAAAAAGACACAGAATAAAACAACTGCTTTAAATTTTATGCTTGGAAAATTGTAAAATATCATAGACCATTTTATGTAAATTTTAAAGATTTGCATTAATGGAACAAATAAAATAAATGGGATTAAATCCAACATGAGCTAAATGTTAGACTGATAAAGAAGAGGGCATTTTTGTTTATTTTTGTCCCCACTCCTTTTTTGACAACAAGATCTTGCTATAGTCCTAGCTGGCCTTGAACTCACTATGTAGCCCAGACTGGCCTCAAACTTGCAGTGATCCTCCTGCCTCAGCCTCCCAAGTGCTGAGATCACAGGCGTGCGCCATCACAACTGGCTTTGGAGCCTAACTAATTTAATCTTTTAAGAGACTTTGGAAATAGCATCATATAATTCTGGAATACAAAAGAAACCTTAACTACCACCCAGATAAAACCTTTCATTTACAGAGGAGGGGTTGAAAAGCAGAGAGATTCAGTGACAGAACATGGTTCTCAACCCAGGTCTTCCAGGCTGCTGGTCAGTCTTGTTCACAGCATTCCTCTGTTTCGTGGCCTACAAGCTCTTTCTTAGTATGCAAGTCAAAATGTTTATATTGATGTAGACATTGTAAGAGGGGGAGCTCATTTTAAACAAATTACCAAACATGCCATTTGAATTGAAGCTATTTCCTTCAAACAGTCATCCTGGAAGACTAAATACCTACGGACTCTGAGCAAATATCCTTAAAACTCACTGAAACTGTCTCCAAGCTTGTGCCACACTTACTAATGTAACTGTTCTAGTGGCAAATCTTTAATACATAAATTGATTTTATCACTGCCAGGATCTAAAACACAAGTAAAAAGAATTAAGATGGGTTATACACATGTACTATTAATCATTATGTTCTGTAAACATGTACACTAATAAAAAATTAAAAACAAAAAATTTATCCTGTGTGCTTAAAACTAAAAAAAAAAAAAGCAACAAAAAACTTCCAGCAAAAAAGAGGGGAAAGGCAACCCATTAAACACACATTTTTCAAAGGCTTGCTACATGTAGCAAAAGACAGTTTTTACCTTCTAGTCTTAAAAAGCTTGGGCACAGGGAGGCCCTGTCAGAATTTATGCAAACTTTTCTAAAATGCCAAGCTACCTCTGACTGCCTCCCACACAGATTCAGGAGTCTGCATGGACATTCTGAAAGGGAGGCCTAGCTGACCACGACACGCACAGCCACCCAACGGTCAATGGAACCAAACAGACCTACTGAAGGGCTGTTTTCCTCTGAGTCTCTCACTGCCATCCCTTCTCAAGCCTTTCGGTTGGGTCCTCATCCTTATAGGGCAGCACTTTTCTTCTTTGCCTATCTTTTCTCACTCCATGTGTTCTCTCCATCATGGTCTGAACTTCCTCATAACTCAGGACTCCAAAATCTGTACCTCAGCCCAGATCTAGCTCCTTGGCTCCAGAAACATGGGTAGAGCTGCCTGCTAATCTTACAGCACCTTAGAGTTAACATGTCCCCAACAGCAGTCATAGTGCCTCCGGCCCCCAGGGCAGGAACTCATGAACACACCGCTTCCTCTTCTTCAATTTGAAACTGTTCCGCCATCCCCCCAGAGTGGAATCTGGGCACCCTCGTGAATCTTGGTTGTCTTCCTCACTCTTCCACAGCTTGTCAATCTCTAAATCCTGTTTTATCTTTCTCTTTGTTCCTACAGCTACAGTTCATGTACATTGGTATTTTGCCCTGGGTGCTGGGTATTTAGGATCCTGAACATTTATCAGTGGTCCTCCTCTACAGCTAGCAGCATGAGAACCATTTATGACGGTTTTTAGTAATACAGATTTCTGGGCTCTACCTTACTTAATACTTAAATAGAATCTTAATACTTAAATAGAATCTTTAATACTTAAATAGAATCACTTCTACTTAAATAGAATCTCAGGGAAATGGGGCCCAAGCATTTGCAATTCTAACAAGTTTCCAAGATGAGTGGCCAGTATGAAATCAGGGGGTCCAATAGGTCTCCCTACTCCCAGGCTTGAACTTTCCATTCTACCCTTCACCCTGCTCCTAGCATGTCGGACTGTATCACTTCACTGCTTAAAATTCTTCAATTTTTAGAATTTTGCCTGGTTATAGGAACTGCCTGGCATGGCAAACAGGGCTTTCTTTCCTTACCTTATTGGTATGTATGTCTATCTTCTTTTAGTAGGCTCTAAGCTCCTACGTAGCTACCTGGCTCTGGGCCTAGCATATGTGTAATAGATACTCAATGAGAGTTTTAAAGGAATGACTGATTCATGTACTCTTGTGAGAGTGAGCAAGGCAGGACCAAGACCAGACATGGGTAGAGATAAAGTGTCTGTCTGGATATGCTTTCACTAGTAGCTGAACAGCAGTTTCAAAAGAGGTGCTCCAAGGAACACTCTGATGTCCAGCATTCACCAGGACATGGCAGTTCTCAGTTTCTGTTAAGAAACAAAGAACAACAACCAAGTAAACACCATAATATCATTATTTAATAGGAGTATTTTTTTCAATGTAGTTTCATATATGATTAACCCTAAGATTTTCTTGTTCTGCTTTTTTTTTGCTTTTCAGTACTGGGGTATGAACCCAGTCCCCTGGGCATGAGAGCAAGTACTCTACCACTGAGCTACACCACCAGCCTTTTTTTCTTTAAATTTTTGACAAAGGGTCTTGAAAAGTTTCCCATGTCAGGGCAGGGGACTTAGCTCAGTGGTGCTACCACCTGCCTTGCAAGCACAAAGTCCTAAGTTTGATCCCCGGTACAAAAAAAAAAAAAGTTTCCCAGGATTCCCTTGAACATGTAATCTTCCTACCTCAGCCTTCTAAATAACTGGGAGTACATGTCTGTGCCACTGAGCCCAGCTCTTTTTTGTTTATTTGGTTGTGCTGAGAATTAAACCCAGGGTATCATGCCTGCCAGCCAAGTGCTCTACCACTGAGCTACCCCTTCACTTTTTCTTTTTAGATATACAATCAGGGCAAGGAAAGGAGAGCTGTAGTCCCATGTTCAGTGGAGCACTATTTATAACAGCCAAGAAATGGAAACAACCTAAGTATCAGCTGACCAACAGATTTTTTAAATGTATATTTATGCAATGGAATACTATTCAGTCATTAGAAAATGAAATTCTGATCCCTGGTACCAAAAAAAAAAGAAAGAAAGAAAGAAAGAAATTCTGCCATTTGTGACCACATAGATGCAACTGGATTGGTTATATTAAGTGAAATAAGCCAGGTACAGAAAGACAAGTATCACATGATCTCCCTCACATACAGGCTCTAAATGAGTTGATCTCATAGAAGCTGAGGATGAAATGGAGGTCAAGGAGAGTTCCAGGGGACAGAGGGGCTGGGAAAAATTGATCAGGGCACTAAATTACGGTTAGATAGGAGGAAGAAGTTTTGGTGGGCCACTGTATAATGTGCTGACCACAGTTAATAACATACGTGTCTCTGAAAAAGCTAGAACAAAGGATTCTGGTGTCTTCACCATAAAAAAATGTTAAATGTTTATGGAGATAAACATGCTTAACCTAATTTAAACATCGTATGCATATACTGAAATATACTCAATGTATGCATATACTGAAACATAATATGGTACCCCATTAATATGTATAATTTTTATAAACCCAACATACATATGTTTTTAAAAATATCAATATATTAGCCACCTGGAATGTTTTTTAGGTAAGCGAAAAATGGAATTCCAGCCAGGCGTGGTGGCACATGCCTGTAATGCCAGCACTCAGGAGGCTGGAGCAGGAGGATCGCTGCAAGTTCAAGGCCAGCCTGGGCTACATAGTGAGTTCAAGACCACCTTGAACTACATAGGGAGACCTTGTCTCAAAATACCACCGCCGCCCCAAACCAAAAACAAAAAACCCAACAAAAATGGAATTCTAGGCTGGGGATGTAACTCAGTGGTACAGCATTTGCCTAGCATGCACTAAGCTCAGCTCCAAGCCCAGATAAAACTCTTACCCTGCAGATTAACTTCCATTATTCAATATGAGGCTTCAACATATTTAATGTATTTTTACTATTTGTTCCTTAGTCTTTATTACATAAATTTTTCTTCCTTAAAAACAAAGAATAGTGGGGCTGGGATTTAGGCTCAGTAGTTCTGTCACCTGCCTCGCAAGTGCAAGGTCCTGAGTTCAATCCCGAGTACCAAAACAAACAAACAAACAAAAAAAACAAAGAATAGAGCCTGGCACAGTGGCACACACCTGTGGTCCTAGATACTCAGGAGGCCGACACAGAAGGATCATTTGAGCCCAGGAGCTCAAAAGCAGTCTGGGAAATATAGCAAGACAAAGATGGGATGGGGGTGTTCAGACATAGATGTTGGCAAAATAATTATTTTTTATACTTCTTTACTATTTTATCTAACTATCATTTTACATAAATATTCATTTACTTTTATTTTTTTATTTTTTGGGTACCAGGGATTGAACTCGGGTCGTTGCGCTTGCGCAGCAGGCGGCGAAACCACTGAGCTAAATCCCTGGCCTCAATACTTTTATTTTTGAGACAGGGTCTTGGTAAGTAGCACAAGCTGGCCTCAAACTCATGTTCTTTCTGCCTCAGCCTCCTGAGCAGCTGGGATACAGATATGTGTCACTACACTCAGCTTGATTATGAATACTTTCTAAAGACACAGAAAATGTCTAAGAAATTGATTACTGGTTTTCTCACATAAAATATTTAAAAGAAACTGGGAAGAACTTCAAATATAAAGACAGTATTTTTTTCTTTCTTTTTTGATTTTGTTTTTCACTGTGTGGTTCAGGCTGGCTTTGAACTATGTAGTTCAAGCTGGCCTCAAACTCAAGCTGATCGTCCCGCTTCAGCCTCCTAAGTGCTGGGATTACAGGCGTTGCCTCTTCCCCCAGACAAAGACAAAGACAGTATTTTTAAAGATATAAAAATCTTTCAGAAGAAAACGATACTCAACTCTTAGCAGGGTTTCTTTAAAATCATATTCTGATTTTATAATTTATACAACTGTATTTGTTCCCCACTAGGCAGCATGGGCTCATACTTTGAAGAGTCTGGCAGTAGTTTTCACAGAGGGCTGATTTTGGCTCTCAGGGGACATTTGGCCAATGTGGGGAAATATTTTTGATTGTTACCATTCAGGATAGCAAGTGAGGAAAGACCAAGGATGCTGCTAAATACCCTGAAGTGTATAGGACAATGCCCCCAACAAAGAATTGCCCGTACTGGGGATACAGCTCCATGGTAGCATGCTTGCCCAGTATGCACAAGACCTTGGGTTTGCTTCCCAGCACCACCTAAAAAAATATATTATTTGGCCCACGTGTTGATAATACTAAGCTTCAGAAACCAAATTTCCCACAGTTTCAAAAGATCAAGTGTCTAAAATTATATAACTTCATAAATCTAACAACTCAGTTACAAACTACAAAATGAAGAATAAAGATACAGTGCCTTTCCATATTGCAGATTTACCATTTCAGATCTGGGGAAATTCCGCTCTATGTCTTCTGCAATGTCCTGCACTGCCAACAGCTGCTCGTCCATTTTTCGAAGCTCAGCAGAGAGAAGCTGCAGTCGGTGAGCGGCGGGCCGTGGTGCAGGGCGAGCCGCAGGGACATCCTGCAGCAAATTCCTCAGCAGATGACCTTCTGCAGAGCTGGACTCTGTGCTCTGCTGTCTGAATTGGAACCCTTGTTTAGGCAGATCTAAATATGAAGAAAAAGCAAAATCAGAATTGATTATAACTAAGGAAGAGGCAGACATAGAAGTTATCATTTTCTGATGACTTAATTTTAAACCAATTATCACATTACTTTCCAAACTAGTTTTGCTTTACAATACTTGCAAATTCCATTTTAGCTTCTAGACCTCTGAAGTTTTTCTTTGTTGTGAGATAAGAACCCATAATAATTTCAGTAACACAAAGCTTTACATCCAAGGCAGTCTGAATGTTTCTTTTAGATCCTGTTGTAAGCATCCTTCATCACCAAGCAATTTTATTATTTTTTATGACTTTTTGAAACTAATTGAAAACCAACACCACCACACACTAAAAGGTGGGTCCAGTGTTGGCTGTTACCAGCCTTATGCAGGATCTCAGGCAAACATTAAATATTAAATGTGCCAAGGCCAATAGCAAAGCCAGTGACTCTCCCCACTCTTCTACTCAGTTGATGCTTGTACTGAATTTGAGACATGCTTTCTTAAATGTACTCTCCTGCACTGTTCACCTGCTTGGTCTCCTCCTCTACCCTTCCTCCCTTTACCCAGCAGTGTTTCCTGAGTGCCAGCCACAGCTCACACCTCTGCTCACTCTTCCCACTCTCTCTCTCGGTGATGTCACTGATGCACAGATGACTCTCTAAGCCATGTAGTGCTCCTTCTGAGTGCCAGCTCCTCATGACCGGGACATCCAGTTGGGTTGTCACATAAGCATATCAAACTAAGCTTATCATTTCTCTAACTTGTTTCCTCTTTCATGTTCCTTAGTGAACAGCATTACCATTCACCCCATCCCCTAAGCCAGGGGCCTTAGTCAGTCAAGGATGGCCCCTTTCTTTCATGTCCAAAGTGATACAAGTATTGATGATTTGACCTCTTAAACACCTCCATTCCTACCATCACCACTTAACTTGAGCTTTAATAAAAGAAGGCCAGGAGTGGTGGCTCACACCTGTAATCCCAGAACTTGGGAGGCTGAGGCAGGGAGATTGCCATGAGTTCAAGACCAGCCTGGGCTCCATAGTGAGTTCAAGGCCAGCTTGAACTAAAAGCAAGACCCTCTCTCAATCAATCAATCAATCAATCAACCAACCAACCAAAAACCAAAAACACCATAGATGGGACACCAAACAGTATCCCATTTATGTCCTATATAATCCATCTTCCACACAGGCCTTTGGAGAACATTCTTTTCTCCCAATGCTGGGTATTGAACGCAGGGATCACGTGGCTACATCACTAGCCCTTTTTTGAGACAGGATCTCACTAAGTTGTCTAGACTGGTGTTCAACGTGTAATCCTCTTACTTCAGCTTCATGAGTAGCTCGGATTACAAGTGTGCACCACCATACCCAGCTAGAAACAGTTCTTAAAACCATAAATTGGATATTGCTCTTTTTCTACCTAAAACTTTTTTATGTTATCCTCAATGCCTTCACCTTAAAAGACCAAATGCCTTAATATGATAGGACAATGGTACACATCTTTCCTCTCCACAGGCTCCATCAAACTTGTGTCACTTTATAATCAATTCTCAGTCTAAATGCCCTGTCTCTCTGTAAATCCTACATTCATGATTTCACTAAAGGTGTTTTCTCCTCGAAATGGCCTCAAACATCTCTGGAGGTAGAAGAGATGCTGCTGTACCTAAGAATCTCACCAATACTGCCATCACAGCCTTTACCAAAACGTTATCCTAACCACCCCTTTATTTATTTGTCTCTTTTTAAGACAAAACAGTGCTGGCTGGCCTTGAACTTACTACATAGCCCAGGCTGGTGAACTTGCAGCAATCCTCTTGTCTCAGCTTCCCAAGTGCTGGGATTACTGGCATGCACCACCACACCCTGCTTCACCTCTGTCTCCCTTCCTTGCCTTCTTTCTTTCTTTCTTTCCCCTTTTCTTTCCTCCCTTCCCTTCTCCTTCCTTCCTTTCTTCTTTCCTTTCCTTCTCCTCTCCTCTCATTCCTCTCCTTCCTTCCCCCTCCCTTTCTGGTTTTGTTTCAGGCCATGATTTATTTATCTTCTTTCCCCCACAGGCTAACATCTGGCATGCTTTTCTTCTTTAGCCCCAGTATCTGCTCTCTAACTTTGTGTTCATAGAATGAAGAGAAGGTCAAAGAAAGACTGTGATGCTTATTCCTAACTTACAGAACTTTTGTGAGACAAAATTATGTGACAATGTGCTCTGCTATAGTTTCTTGTTTGTTTTTTTTTGTACCAGGGATCAAACTTGGGTCCTTGTGCTTGTGCAGCAGGCAGCAAAACCACTGAGCTAAATCCCCGGGCCAATGTGCTCTGAAAAATGTGAATTACTAAACAAATATAAACATTACCTACTGTCTTTCAGTCCCACTCTAAAATGAGCCTTCTTATGAGAAAATGATGGTAAATGCTAATGTTGGTCATGGTGATTATCTATGTCATCGTCCCCTACCTTTTTAAGCTTGGCTCTCACAGCACTTTACCATCTACCCTTCCTGTTTCTCAGCAGCCTAGTGTCTTCCTTAATCAAAAAAAAAGATTTGGTGTGCAAACCGTATTTCAGGTTTCCTTTGCATTTACCAAATTTTAGGGCCTATTTCTAACACGATGGGAATTCAGGGAGGGAGCAGGTCATGGTGCACACCTTGATGTTCACCTTTCTGCTGCTGTCTGTCTGCTGGTGCTGCTGAGGGGATCCCAGGCTCCTTCACTTCTTTAGCAGCTGTTCTCCAACTTTTTCCTTCCAGGTAGATTGGAGTCACTTTTGTAGGTTTAAAAAATAAAATGGAATTGGCAGATTCTATCAAGAATATGAAAGGCACACAAAATTGACAACAAACTGCTAGATGAGGTAATAAAGAACATTTTTAATGTGAACATAAACATCCAAAAGTGCAGCGAGTTTGTAGGAGAGCTAGAAGATTTGAGTACAGATAACAATACTATACTAAATACTTTTTCAAAGGATGTGACGGTGATCTGGCTGTGACATCTGACACCCCACTGATCTCCAGGGTTGATTGGGCTGAGCTGGCTGGCTAGGGAGGTGTCCCCTTCCTCCCTCACTACTCCTCCATGTGAGTCCCTCCCAAAACCGCAACCACCGCTGATAGAGGAGGACAGTTTCCTGGTCAAGGGTATTCGAGTAGCTGTGCTGCCCTGCTAGAACCTCCAAGCAAGCTCTCAAAATATATTTTATCTAAAAAGTAGCAAAATGTGGGCTAGGGAATTAGCTCAATGGTTTCACCCCCTGCTGTGCAAGCGCAAGGACCTGAGTTCGATCTCCGGTACCAAAAAAAAAAATTATAAAATACAAAGTAGCAAAACGTTATTACCTTCATGCTTAAAATTGTGTGGGAGAACAGCATTAGTGACTGATGCTGCCATATAATGTAACTCAGCAGACAACGGGACGTCTAGCTGACTGCTTTGCTGCTTGCTGACACTTTCATCTGCAGGCTTTTCTCTGACAGGTAACTGCTGCAGGTCACTAGCTTCAATGTCAGTCACATTTATGTAAGTGTGTCCCACCTGAGTTAAAACACAGAAAAACCAATCTTTACTTTAGAAGGGCACTCTGCCAAAAAGAAGTTTTAATTCTTTATTCTTATTATTGATAAGCAAGAAGAGCTTGCATATGCCTAATTTAGAGAAAGTTGCAAGAAGCATGTATTATTGGTTTAGTTTATAATATTTTGGGGTATAATATTTAAAATTAATTTTTGACCTTTCCTATAAAGCTACACAGATGAGATTTTTTATCATCATGTAACCTATATAATTGAATATTACATGGATGAAAATAAATTTTAGCACAAAGGTATTATTAAAATTTCTGAATACACAAACCACATCTGCTACCATATGAGGTGTTGAAGGTGACAAAGGTTTCTCTGATTTTTCAGTAAAAAGTTTGACATTTAGAAATACATCTGGGACCAACAGCTGAGGATCATTCAAAGGTTCGTGTTCTGAAAATTAAGAAGAAAAATCAGAAATGTTAACAAATATCCATAAATAGCTCTAAATCATTAATTTTATAAGAACAAGTTAGCAATAAACATTTTTTTGTTTAGTACCAGCAATTGAACTCAGGACCTTGTGGTTGCAAGGCAGGCAGCAGCACCACTGAGCTAAATCCCCAGCCGAGCAATAAACACTTTTAAAATGTGTATTTGCTGAAAATCTAAGTAGAAACTTCATAGGTATAAATAAAGCAAAAATTTTTTTTCTATTTTAAGGGCAATTTATTTTAGATCCATAATTAAATGAAGAATGAATAGTTTTTCTAATATGAATGATTTGCAAGAACAATAAAGTATTAAAATTATGTCAAGAAAATGCTGTAATTTCCTATTTCATTTCAGATACATTAAGTCATGTTTATTTTATTTTAAAGAATTTCACTTAGGTCAGATTTTAGGAAATAAAACTATAAATACATTTTAAAAAATTTCAACAGTTGTCATTTTTTTTAGTGTAATTGAGGGCTATAATTCATATTCTTGAAATGGGTACCATTCAGTGGCTTTTAGTATAGCTAAATTTCACCACTTTAAATGATTAAATGTTTTAACATCTAAATTTCACAAACACTATTTGCTTCTTATTCCATAATATACCCAAGGCTGCCACTCTGTAGGTCAGCAGACAGTACAATTCTGTTCCTTTTGTTCCATGACTCTTAATCTTATTTTCTAATATTTTAATTCCAATAAAGCATTATTTTCAAATTTCATGTGTAAATTATAACTCATTGTCATATTGAGTACTGGAAACTCAATTATAATAACTCAATAGTACCAAGGCTTGAATTAAATTATAGATTAACCAAAAAGCTAGAAAAAAAATCTCCTGAAAATATTTAAGTTTTCATTCATTTCTACTATGTTAGATGAATAGTTTAGCTGGTTTTTTTTTTTTTGGTACTGGAGATCGAACTCGGGACCTTGCGCTTTCGAGGCAGGCGGTGAAACCACTGAGCTAAAT